TACATACACTGAATCTCAGAAGAGACTTTAGACTATGGACTTTTGAATAGTATTGAACTGGTAAAGACTCTGGGTACTTTTGAGGATAAACTAAATGCATTTTGCATTTTATATGGTCATGAGCCTATGGGGACCAGGGAGTAGAATGTGGTGGTTTGAATGAGAATTTCCCCCATAGGCTCCCAGTACTTGAACATTTTGTCCCCACTTTGTGGTGCTACTTTGGGAGGTCTTAGAAGGTGTGGCCATGCTGGAGGAAGCATGTCATTGGGGGTGGGCTTAGAAAGTTCTTAAGGTGTGGCCATGGTGGAGGAAACTCATCCCTGGGGGGATGGGCTAAGAGAGTTCTTAAGCCTTACTGGATCTCTAGTCAGCTCTGCATCCTGTGCATGCTTGAAGATGTGAGAGCTTAGCTTCTGCTTCTACTCCAGCCACCTCCATTGCCATGCCTCCTTATGACGATGGTCTCTTGTCCTTTTGGAACTGTAAGCTAAATAAACTCTTCCTTTTATAAGTTCTCTTGGTCATGGTATTTCTATCACAGTAGCAGAAAAGTAACTAATACAGTAATTGGTACCAGGATTGTGGGTTATTGCTGTGACAGACCTGACCTTGGTAATTTGGGAGGATTGTGGAAGCATTTGCAACTCTGGCTTGGAAAAAACCACTGGATGCTCAGAGTTTGCTGTTGTGGCGCTTGGAACAGTTATGCTGAAAGGGTTGTGGATGATGGTGCCCTGGCTTGTGAAGCTTCAAAGGAAAATGGAGACTATCAGGGCTGTTTGTGTGATATCTTGAATTGAGAATCTGTGGGTTCTTGTTGGCTGGGGCTGAAGAATCAGCTGTGATTAAGAAGAGACCAGAGTCACTGAAGTGAAACCTTTGTTTTACTGGGACAATTGATGCTGGTTAGCTGGGGCTGAAAAATCAGCTTTAAGTAACAAGAGACCTGCATCACTGTGGCAAAAATCTTCTGGGAAGTATTTCCTCAGGGTCAGTATACAGAAGCAATGGCCCGGGGGGCGGGGGTCCAAGCCTCCATCTCAAGCTGGAAGCAGGACCTGGTAATGTATAAGAGTCTCCTGCATGGTTCTGGTGCTGAGAGCGTAAAGGGGTCATAGAGAGCACCTAAGGCTTGGCACCCTGAGAGGTTAGACGAGGCCATTGGTGAAAGTGCAGCCTCAGTTTCAGTGAAGACCCCCAGGACTGAAGGGGTCATGGAGAGAATCTGAGGCTCTGCAGCCCAAGAGACCAGAAGAAGCCATTGGTGAAGGTGCAGCCTCAGTTTCTCTGGGGACCCCAGGTTTTTGGAGATGCCAGGACCATGGGACAACCACTAAGGGCAGCAGTAGGTGTGGAATGGAGCCAATTTGGGTCTGCAAGATGAATTGTGTGCTGTGGACAGCAGAGTCAGAGAAGTGGAGCTGCCAGAATCCTTTGGAGCCCAGAAGATTGTGAGTGAATCCCAGATGACCAGTCTTGAGCTATTTTGCTGAACTTAGGTTTTGCTTAGGTGTACTCAATCCTTCCCTTTTGAAATAAGACAGTACTTGTTTTGGGTTTTACAGGAGCCCACAGTTAAAAGAGATTTAAAAGAGACTATGGATTTTTAAGTGTTTGGATTTTTTAAGGACTGTGGAACTTTTAAGATTGTGATATTGTTAAAATCATATCTTGGGGACAAGAAATAGAAAGGTTGTGATTTAATAGTAATGTGTTTGTGTGTCAAGTTGACAAGAGGTCAATTGTGCTGGATAGCTTTAGTTGTCAACTTGACACACCTGGGTAGAGGGAGCCTCAATTGGGGAATTGCCTCCATTGGACTGGCCTGTGGCCATGTCTGGGGAATATTTTCTTGATTTTTGAGTGATGTGGGAGGGCCCATCCCACTGTGGGCACTGCCACCCCTGGGCAGGTTGTTCTCATTGTAAGAAAGCAGGCTGAACATGGGTCAGGGGAACAAGTCAGTAAACAGCATTCCTTCATGGCTGTGCTTCAGCTCCTGCCTCCAGGTTCCTGCCCGGAGTCCTACTTTGGGCTCCTTAAGTGATGAACTGTGATCTGAGAGATGTAAGCCAAATAAACTCTTTCCTCCCCAAGTCGGTATTGGTTAGAGTATTTTGTTGCAGCAATCAAAGGCATACTAGAACAATTCCAAATCTCAAAAACAATGCAATCTGAAGTGCTTCTGGTCTCATGGAATAAATGAAATAACTAACAAACTGATTTTAGGAGATCATGGCTTTTTTTCAGGATCATCTTTTATGATCTTTAGGCTGATGGTACTGTGAAGGTATCTCTTAGGTGATGTCTCTACCAGTCTAGGGTAATTACATGTTTACACGTTTCTCTACTTCAGGGAACTGTCAACTCAGTGAAAGCAAGAGCCAAATCTTAGTCATCTTTGCTAGAAAGTACATTTAAGAGAACATTTTTCAAAATCAGGAACACACTGATTTACTTCTTTTTTTTGAAATAAATCTTTTAAAATATTTTATGAAATAAAAATTCAATAAAAAATTAAAAATATTTTACGTATTTTTATTTTATGTATATGTATTGCCTGCATGTATGTGAGTGCACCCTTGTCATACAATGCCCACGGATGTCAGAAGAGGGTGTCAGATCCTCTGGAACTGGAGTTATAGATGGTTGTTAACCATCATGTGGGTGTTGGGATTCAAACTTGAGTCCTCTGCAAGAGCAGCCAGTGCTCTTAAATGCTAAGCCATCTCTCCTGCCCTGTGATTTACTTCTTAATAGAAGGACAATTTAATTTCAGCCAAAGTGCATACTGTTGAACAGAAAACTCATTTTTCTCAACGAAAAGATTAAACTAGGTAAAGTTTTAATCTGCAGTGCTTTGGCCTGATACATTACCTTTTAAGAATATTTGTGTCCTAAAATATTTCCCATGGGTGGGAACTTGAGACTAGAATGCCATCATGTTAAAAGGAGAGCAGACATCTGTGGTTCAAACTGACAATGAACTGCAAATTGAGACCCACACTTTTTAGTTGGTGAAGGTTCTAATTCACAATACAACAGTCTCAGTCACAGATTCAATCTGTGCTTCTAGCTTTGAAGGGCTCCAGTGAATGCAACTTGAGTTACTGTATCAAGACTTAAAATTTGTTTAATCAAAACAGGAAATGAAGTTTTATGATATTCTAAGAAGCAATAAAGTTTTAATTTCATGTAAACTGCCTAAGATATACATCAAGGGCAGCAACCCAGAAAAATGCCCCACAGAATGTTTTTTGTAAAATAGGCAACTTTTTCCAAGTTTCATTTTAGGCAACAGACAAGTATTTAACTCAATTATTCTCTATTGAGATTATTAAAATGGTGTTGCAATTAATATCAGGATACAATTTCAGATCCATTCAATTGTGAGAAACTGACTGAAACTCAAATCACAGATCGGTGTCTTTTCAATGATGCTACACACACAATGCAATATTTATGCTGATTAGAACACTGGAGTAGCTGGACTCAGGTAATTTAGTTAATAGTATGAAATGAGAGATGCCAAATTAATTTCTTAGATGGATTTTTGAATATCTTTAAAGCAATTATGAGGCTTGATGACTAAAAAATGTTTTCTTTTTCTTAATGTGCAGAGGTGACACAATTTAGATCAGATATATTCTATTTAGAACACAAGGTTCCCAGAATTATAAAACCAGGAAAATCCCTCAAGGTCATCAGCCTAACGTGAGTCTCTAAGAACAGAAACAAAGGCTCAGAGAATCAGTAAGATGCTCTGGAGTCAGATACCTAAATTCCAGTCTGGATTGGCAAATTATTCCCCAGGTAACCTCAGGAGAGGTATTCAACCTCTCTAAGCCTCAGTTTCCTCATCTGTAAATGGGGATAATAATTAGAGTTGGGCAAATGGTAATTACTCAGCAAACATTAGCAACTATCATTTTATTGTGAATAAAAGGTGACTCCCAAGACAGGAAGGCAGTGACACAGTATCTAAGGGTAAAATCCATTGGTACTACATCAAAGGGACAGGTTACTTATTGTAGTATCTTTGCTACCTAATTGATTGAGACATTAAGTTAGTGATCACAAACCAAGGTTTTGATTTCATGAAGAGTCACACAGATTTGGTTCCAATTAACAATGGACATTTGATATTTATCTTTATAACTAGTTCTGCTCAATTACATGTCTTTAAATCTTTTTAGCCCCAAACTGCTCATATGAAATTAATAATGATGTATTTCCCACAAATATGAGTTAGGGCTCTTTCTGGAATGATCTTAAATTTGACCATGGTTATTTGCTACACTGAACAGGATCAAGAGTTTTAATTTGCCAGTGGAAGTCAAATACTTCCATATTTCCCAAACATCAGCTCTGGAGGAAGCAAGAATAAGAGATATAGAAAAGGAAAAGTGTAACGGTCATGTGGGTGAAATTACTTTAGGGATCTAGTATCACAGACATCCGGAATTGCCATTTTTGCCAGTACTCACTGCCCTTAAATGTTTGGTATCACTCAGAACTGAATGTTCTTACATTTAACTAAAAACCCAGAACAATGAAGTCCCATAAAGAATATTAGCTTTATATAATTGCTTCCTATACTTCCACTTTGGTAATTTTTAGTATGTTAGTAGTAGTCTTGTTAGTGAGCGTTCTCAGACTGTCAGGTTGGTGTTTAAAGCATTTTCTTGAGATAGACTAAAGTTTTTATACTCATCTAGAGAATGACCAATGCGTGTGCTGTTAAACTTTCATTCTTTAAGAGTAATTAAGAGCAAATGTACTATGGTCTAAATATATCAAAGAGACATTCTCTTTAACGACAGTGAGATAATTCCAAGTATAAACAAGAACAAAGCCAAAATACCTTTTTATGTAACACCAATATAATTCAGCAGACCAGCAGATGAAGAAAATGGTAATTTGGAAGGTGTCAGTTTGTATCTATATCTGGAATTTAGTATTTCAGCTACTAAGATAAAAAACGTTTAGAAACTTACCCGCATTTTTGCACAAGCATCTTGGGTTGATTCTGTCCCCCTGAGCTCTTTTATCAGCATAGAACCTAAATACTAAAACACACAAAAAAGGAACAATTTATTAAAAAGAATATAAAAGTGAATAATGATTTAAAAACAAACTGTGGGAAGACTACAGGCTAGGTTTCCTGGCTAAAAATTGCTGATAACTTTAAACAACTAATAGTAACTAATCCTTATAGATAAATGCATTCATAGAGGGACTGTAGCAGAATTAGCCACAAGCTCTGAGGACTGTGCTCTTTATAATGAAGTTGGGGCATGTTCTAAAGATGTCATCTTTAAAATCATATTTAGCTGCAAAATGGGGGTATCTAAAAATGCTTTCCCATTTTTTTGAGGCAGCAATGTCTGCAAAAATAAATCACACTATCAGTGTAATTACAGGGTTGTATGAGACAGCTGAGAAATACGCAACATGGCTCCCATTTGGGCTCATTCAGAGGCATAGGTAATTAAAATTGCCTGTCCTTAGGCAGAGATGCATGTCTGGACCCTTTTTATTCACAGCTGTGTGCCCTGTGCTTGATCTACCTGAGAATGGATGAACGTGGCTAGGGAGAGAGCATGCCATTGCCATTACTCAGGGGACAGGCAGAGTCCTGGGTGTAGAGTGACACATGGTGAGCTGGATGGGGGCAGACACACTCTTCCCCAGAATTATAAGCCATTTTTCTAGTTTGTGATTGGATCATGGCCACCTGCTGCTACACAGCATCATTCAGTTTCCTGATCCTGGCTGGGGCAAATGTCTTTGCTGTGTTTCTCCGTCATCTTACTTCTTTTTATAATTAACTGACTTATTGACATTTTGAGGCCAACTAGTTCTTATGGTTTCTCCCCTCCTCCCATGCCCTTAAAAATAATTTTACATGTCTTTTAAAATTTAGAGCCAAATAAATATTGTAGAAGAGACTAGAAGTCCTGCTAAAATGGGGACACCTGGCTTAGTGCAGGCACAGGGTTTGGGAACCAGAATTGAGGCCCAGGGAAGGCACAATGCAAAGGGGTGGTCCGGGGCCTTGTTCAGAACAGTTCAAGGATTTGAGGTTTGAGCTTTGAATGAAGCCATTTCAGCCCTACAGTGTTGGGGAAAATACTGTTGAAAGAAACCCGATGTTGAAAGACAAGCAACAAGGAACAGGAACAGCACAGTGAGAAAGCCCAGGCTGAGGAGGGCAAGTGTACCAGACCGTGGGGAGGTGACCAGGCTGCAGGGAGGTGACCAGACCACACCTCCACCAAATTAAGGAAAATGATCTCAGCAAAATCTTTATCTTTTAAATTCTTAGGAAAGTTTGCCCTAACTGAAACATTTCTTTTAAAGACTGTCAGTTTCAGGGTTCAACCAATTTTTCCTGCTGTAGTCCTGCCACCTACCAAATCCTGCAGCCTTTTGAACATCTATTTGTTCATAACACTCATTTTTCAGACAAATGTAACTGTTTCCCTTGTTCCACGAAAAAGACGAAACAACAACAAAACCCCAAACCTACCCACCAAACCAAACAAAAACAAGCCAGCAAGGCAATCCTGTTGCTGACAGTGCAGAGTCTGTTGCTTATATAAAGGCAGACCCAACGTTCCGAGATCACTGGTGAGCGGAGATGCCTATCTGTACGATATTTATGCTCACCTCCTTTTATTTTACTTACTTGTTTTCAGTGCTATGGACTGAACCCAGGGCTTCATGCATGCTAGGCAAACATTCGACCACTGAGCGACACCTCTAGCTTTGCATTCCATTTAAAATTGTGCTTTATCATATTTTTATTAAAACATACAACTCTGTAAGAAACTTGAACTAACAAGATCTGAAGGGGTCCAAAGCTCTAGTTATCTGGACTTTCTCTTTGGAGAAATGCTTCTTTTCAGGAAAAGAGAAGAGGGGAAGGAAATCTTTCAGGAATTTCAATGTTGGGCTTTTTGGTACATTTTCAATAAACTCGTACAAAAAAGGAACGTATACTCCATCCCTACTTGTGCTCAAATACTGACACTTACAAAAGCTTTGTAGTCACAGGACTGGAAGATGAGTTTTTCCGGGTGGTGCTGCCAGTACTGGACTGGAGTTGAGGCTGTGGCTTCATTTGGAGGTCGCAAGGTGATGGAAGGTTCTCCCCAGTCTCCTGTCTGGAAATGAAATTTATTTTAGAGGCAGTAGAAGCAGTAAGCAAAGTTCATTCTCTCTAGCTGGCTTGGGTTCACTGAATACACTTGTACTGTAAATGTGCAATGCATTTTGGTGTATTATATGTCTATAAATATCAGTTGTGTTTCTGTATGAACTAGCATTGTATTTTCTGAAGTGGAGTTCAGTTTTGAAGTGTGACGAATTATTATGCTTTCAGAATGAAACCCTAGGCTAAATAATTCCAAAAAATAAAACAGGAAGGTATTAACATATGATGTGCTAATTCATAATTTTCTGTTAACAACAGAAAAAATACCCATGTTTGAGCTTTTTGTTATTAAACTTGACTGAAGTTTTCAGTTCAAATTGCTTTTAGCTTAGAATACACAGTTCCATTAATGTCAGTCCCCAAATATGACATTATTATGTACTGTGCATAATTTTATATCTGTGGAGAAAGGCTTTGTGAGTAGGGTACTAAACAAAAATGTTAAAATAAAAATTTACTAATGGGCAACAGCTAATTTCCTTTGTTGGAATTCAACTGTGTTGATAGTGCTATTGTGACTGTCCAGGATGTACTTAGTTGCTTTCTTTGGGAGGTCTAAATACTATAGCAGCCCAAACTTGGTATGCACATCTGCTTGTATGTGCATGAATGTGTGTATTCTGTTTCACAAGCAGGTCACATATGATGGTATGTTATATTATACACATACCCTTTAAGACCGGTCATTCCATTTGTTACTTTCTATGAAGTCAGTCTTACCATAATGGTTTAATGTAAACATTAATAAAGTCAAAGGACTATTTTGGGAGGTCTTTTCTGGACTCTAATCTGATTTACATGTCACAAGTGGAGTGTTTCTTATATTTCTAATTCTTTTCCATACCAAAGATTCTTGGCTTCTCAGAATTCAGTTCTTTGTTCTCAAATGGGCATAACTAAACCTAGACTATGAACATGTTTTCGAAGCCGCTCTCTTCTAACTTGAATTGGGCTGCTCTTATAGAATTATGAGAATTATGTCTCTCAGGCATCAGAAGTATGTAACAAGATCTCATGAGCTCCAAAACCAAATAAACCTTGGTTGCAGGCCAAGTTCCATGATGTGCTAGCAAATGGGTTGACACATTGTGGGATTTCTTGAGGAGGATTTTCAAGGAGTCTGTACAAGAATGTCCACCTTCAGATGCATAACGGGAAAAAGAAGTGTGTAGCTCTCATTAGATTCGTTGAAAGGACAGGGAAATCCCAAATGTTATGAACCACAGGCCTCCAGGAATGGCTCAAATTGGGTTCGTGTTTAGGAGAAGGGGCTAGCGCCTCAATGTTCTCTGTGCAGTTTAGAATTACATTAGGTGGAATAAAATGAGGCAGCATCCAAAAATAGAAAGTGGAATTTTCTTTCTGGAAATTTCTAACTTGCTTTGAAGAATGAGAAGAAGCATTCAAGAGTCTTGTAGGAATGCAAAGCCCTTTTCACAGCTATTGGAGCCTGAAAGCATGCCTTCTGTACGCAGGTCTCCTGAAATCACAGCAGAGCTGCATTTCCAACCTGCTCCTTGGCTCTCACTGGAGCACCTGGTGGCTGAGAACTCTTTCTGTGTTCGGAGCCATTCTCCATATTTGTTTTGTTTCAGTTGTTGCTTTACTTGTGTACTGCTTGATCTTCCTAGACCCTGTATTCTGATATTTCAAAGCATCATTTAAAATGTATCATGATATTTTAAACTATAATATTAACTTAAATATTTTTGTTGATTTTATGGTCTACCCCTGATTCATTATTGAATTTTCTCTTTATGAGTTTTTAATTGTTCAAAAGTACTCACTGACTGTGATTGAGGATTAAGCTTTTCTCTGATTTTATATTTGATTTTTTTCCCCTTCAAATGTCTGGCTTTTTAATCATTTCTCTAGTCTTTATTTCACTTGGTTATTCTTTGCTCTTAAAAGCTAGTATAGACTTCGAAATGAAGGATATGTGGGATTCATTATTTTAAAGCTGAGTATAATAACCTTTATGACAGCTTACAACTTTGGAAACATCGTAGCTATGAGTTCTTAAAAGCTCTCCCCAAATCTAGCAAGCAACTCTCTAATTTCCCCCATTAAACGTCTCTCCCTTCCCGCCTCCCTTGAGAAAGCAACAACAACATAGCAAACAGGTATTGTACATTTACGTCACAGATGACATTGTTAACACAACAACAGAAGTTTGCACGCAACTCTGTGGAATGATACAAAAGGAGGATTTGGGTGACATCAAAAGATCCTTTGAACCAGTCTGCTGATGTGACAACTCAACCAAGCAACAGATCTTCACATTAGCCCTATTGTAGTTTAGCTGAGGTTTACTGAGGCTGCGCTTAACAGGCAGCTTTCAGAAAAGCCAGAATTGACACGGCAGGAGCTGGGGGTACTGAGGACTGTAGGGAAAGGTTTGGGAATAAGGTTTGGGGTGGGAGTGGGTGCAGTAAAGCCGGCACAGGTTAGTATGTTAAGCATGCAAACCATGTGCAGACTCATTCTCTAACTGTTCAATTAGGTCACACACGTTCATAGTTAAATTTTTATGTGCTCTGAGTGTTTAATCTGCTCTGAGTGTTTACATCATCCACAGAAGTTGTAGCAGCCATTCTGAGAACAACAAGCCCCAGCACACACCCCCTCAGTTTGGAAATTATCGAGACCATTTATTTGATAACCACTTGAAGAAATGAGTGAGGCATCCACTTAACTGTTTAGACAGCGCCATCATCTGCTCTCCTAGGGCTTATTTTGTCTAAAAGTCACAAACCACCTGCTTTGAATCCAGAGTGATCTGAGAGGCCCTCCCCTAGAAGCTCTGGAGGAAGATAATTATAGGAGAGGGAAATATAATCCTTACTTTATTTTCTTTATAGCCTTCAAATGTTGCTCCAATCCAAATATTTTAAAATTCCCTACAGGGATTGAATCGACCTTTCTGGAAATAGACTCTAGTTTTGTCATACTTAGTATTATTTCCAGAAACTTATTTTCAGACAAAAAAAGTGTTCTTAGGACTGAATTTATAAGAAAATAATTTTTTTCTTCCTGGAAATTTATCAATTTCTGCTCTCTTAAAAAAACCCTCAGATCTATGAATATTTAGAAGAGTCAACATGTTGATGTTGAGTTTTCTCTTTGGAGTCAATTTAATGGGAATGGAAGGACTCCAGTTGGACTTAGTACCATGCTCTAGTGAAGGACAGGAATGACCTTGGAACTGGGCTGGCATTCAGCTTGCTGGTTGACTGCCAGCTAAGGAAAACACAAGCATGTGGAGAAGCATTTGGGTTGAGCCTTAGGTTTCAACCTTCCTTGAGGCAGAATTACAGTAGGAGTGAGCACTGGAGACCTGGGGAGAGCACTTGCTATATGTAGTAGCAGAAAAGACTGTAAAATAAATAAGGACTTTTTTGCCTCATATATAAAACAATTTTCAACTATGAAGCCTTGGGGTAGCTCTTGGTGAAGAGCTATACATTCCTATATACACACAATACCTGTATTTCCCCAGGCAAATGTTTTAAGTTAAATCTAATTATTTCCCACTTTAAAATGCTTATTAAAAATTAATAAAAATCAAGGCCTAAGAAATCTTTTTGCCTCAAATAATGGCTATAATAAAAACTCTTTTTTAATGAGAAACAGACTAACCTTGTAGGCAATGATACAATAACGCATAGAGTAACAAAACAAAGTAGGAAAAGCTTGGTGTGGAATTCTGTCATATTTAAAATTATTACCAACATAGTGATCTTTAGAAGACTTCCTTAAGTAATCACAGAAGAGAAATTAAAATGAGTCAAGTAACTTTTAAGTTTTTAATAAATGTCTTCAGGCTTTTTCTTTAGAGCTTAGAGTACCTAAAGAAAATCCTTTAGGTTAATAATCTTAATATTCTAAGAATTTAGTTATGGTGTAAAACTTCACTTATTTGGTATTTGTTATGTTTTATGTATGCATTAAGGTCTTCTCAGTTTTTTAAAAATAAATACATGGAAGGACGTCAATTAAACAGAAGAAAATGTACATCATTAACTGTCACTTCAACCCCCCCGCAAAAAAAACCCCTTCAAATATTAAGGAAAAATAATTTAATATTAGAGTTTTAAATGGAGTGGTTTCTTTCTAACAGGCATTTGTCAACAGCCAAGGACTTATAATTGGGCCCTATGTGAAATGATGCAATTAAATGAAACATTATTTTAGACCACTAGCCAAAAAATAAACCACCACCGAATGAACATAGTTACAAGAAAAAATTCAACAGGCAGATTTTTATTGGACTAAAGAATCAAAAAATGCAGATGTTGACCCCTGTATTGTTTCAAAAGGTAGTAAATAGCTCCACTTTTACTTTCTGTGCCACTAGACATTTAAGGCAAGTTCTAAAACAGATCACACCATGTACCAATCTTCTTCCAAAGGGAAGCCGACTATTACATATTCTATTTGTTCCAAGAACAAAATGTGGGAGATGTTCTCTATATTTTTATTTTCTTCTACGTCAAAAGTTTCTTAAGAATATTAGTAAATAATTAGAAGGTATGACAGTGACTTAGCTTTCTAACATCAATAGAGAAGTAGGATTTTTTGACTCCTTCTACTATTCTTTTCAAAAAATTTTAAAATTGAGCCTTAAATGATTCTTTAATAGAAGCTTTTAAATCTTTTCTGCAAGAAGTGATTCCCACCTACCTGCTTATAAATTTAGATCTGAATATTAACAAACATTATTCTATGTTTCTTCAGAACACTTAATGAAAAAACTAACATGATTTTAAATGACAATTGTTACTTTAAGGTTTGACTTTCAGTAATCTGACAAACTTCAGAGATAGGCTACCCAAACACACATTAAATGATTACATAACCTTCTGTAATCTCTATGGCTTTCCCAAGTGCTACACAGAGCTCCATGCTTCTAAAGATACACACATATTTGGATGTGAATGCAAGGGAGGGTTGCCTACCAACATTCACACACATGGAAAAGCTGGAGGCTACAGCAGTGGTTTGAACAAAATCTCCAGGAATTAAGAACAGTGGTTTGGTTGAGTTCAGTAGGTTTTGCTGATTTTTTTCTATTGAGGAGGAGCAGAGATGGTCACTTCTGAACACACAAAAGCTGCATTAGCACCACGTGCTGAGGGGGAACTGCTGGGGTCGCGGAGTATCAGTGCAGGCAATGCACAGACACCATGGTCCCCCAGAACCAGGAGTCCCATGCACGGGAGAATGGATGTACCTGATGCGATGCCCTACAAAAGGCCCTTTACATGCCACCCCAAGAACTCTCAGTGATTCTCAACCAAATGTCTCAAGCTCTCAGACAGCAGGCTAGCCAATGAGAAAAGTTTCACTGAATGTGAAAATAGGATTGTATTTTAAAATATAAAACTTAAAATCTATACCAGAATGTTTACATTCCAAATAAAAATATTTTTTTCTAAAGTATGCAATGGTGAAATATGAATATTTGAATATTAAGCAGCTCAGAGTAAACTGGGTCATAATTTCACACACATTCCAAATATCAATTCAATACGTTCAAGTGGAAAAAGGCTGAGAAGCACCTTGTAGCCATAATAATGTCTCTCCCAGCTCCCCTCCCCAGACATTTGCATCAAATATACACAGAATCTCATGCAAATCAAGTATATGTCTTACAAGTAAAGCGCATGAATCTTTGAGAATCATTGGACACAAAGGGTTGAATAGCCCATGGACATGGAAAAGTACAAAACTGGGAAGAATAGCTGATATATACATGTGTGTGTATATATATATATCAATTTACCCTTTGCCTTCTTCCTGTAAAAGCAAGTTAACACAGACACCTGGAACGAAGGCCAAAACTCACATGGGACAGAGTCTCACCATAGACTTCAAAACCAAGTATGTTTCTCATTTTAGGACAATGTTTACACATCAACTAGTCACAAGGCACAGTAAATGAAATAGAGTTGACAAAGAACCTCAGGAGTCACTAGACATTACGAATTTTCTGCATTGCCAGGACGTAGTACCTCGGGCTGGTGACAACACTGCGACACAGCACATAGCGCAAGTTCAGGAAGAGAAAAGAACCATGTGTAGCCTTACATTATGAACCTGATGGATCGCTGAGAAAGGAAATCCAGCGTTCTGATTCGTCCATATTTCACAGACAGACGACTGCTGGTATAAACAGAAAACTATCTCATCTTGTCAATATTTAAAACATGGTAGCTACCAAGGCATATCCAGGAAAGGAAGCAGGAAAAACCAGTAAAATACAAGAATCACATTTCTTTCTTTCCTTTTTTTTTTTTAAAAGCAAAAACTGAAAGAATGTTTTTAGGGTATTCAAGGTTTAATAGTTGATTTCCAAGGCATTCTTTTTGCTTAAAATATTTTGGATTGGCTGCAGGGGGCAGGGGGCGGGGAGACCATTTATGCATTAATTTGATATCAAGGGAAATTACCAATAAATTCGCACCTCAGAAAAAGCAAACTATTTTTACTTTTGCCAAAAAGAAAGGCAGTGTCTTCCCTCTTTGTATCAATATTTTCGTTGAATTCAAGAAAGATGGGGAAGAACTCTTTAAAACAAATCAAACATCTTAATTTCCTTATCATTGGTGGTCAAGAAGAAACACTAAACAGTGCCTGTGCTTCTAGGGACTCTCTAGGGCTGAACTCTGTGGCTAACAATGTGTCAGGTCCCTGTATCAGGGGGTTCAGGGTGCAGTGGAGGCAGCAAGGAGCCCCTGATGGCAGGGAGACCAGGGTCAGGGAAGCTCAGCACTGTTACTCTAGCAGAAACTTCTGGACGCACATTTCTGAGTGCAATGAACCAGCACCTTCACTGAGCTCTCCATCACACTGGAACAAATCTAGAGTGGAAACGTGTGCTCAGAACCAAATGCCAGACTAACCAACATCCACTCCCAAGTGCTACGGCAGAAACCACCACATCACCTGTCGTGCTCTTGACCTGACCTTTCTAGAGTTCTTTTCCTGAATGCTGTTGTCCTAAATGATACTTTGGTGGGGTATGGTAGGCCATGGCTATAATCTCAGCACCTGGGAGGCTGAGGCGGAAGGTTTGCTATGAGTTCAAGGCCAGTCTAGGCTGCAGAGTGAAACTCTTCTTAAACTGACCCCCCCAAAAACCCCCAAAACACAGCAAAATTGACTACCAGAATTCATTCAGTAAGCATTATATGTGTCCCCAGAAATCCCAGTGGAATCTGACAAAGATCATTGCTGGAAGGGGATACACATATTCCCAGAATGTGACTTAGAAACACACTAAAGCATTAAACAAACTACAGAAGAGCAGGTTTGCCCCTGATTAAAGGTTTCCTCTTGTCTTCTCAGAAACACTCAGCAGAAGTTTAGCATCTCTCTGCAGTGAGGATGGCATCTCCACACACACTTACACCTTTGCTCTCCAGGCCTCTAGCCTGTTGGGGATGGATTGTCAGGTACCTAGCTCTCTTCCATTTACTGGCTCTGATGTTCTTAGTTTCCTCTCTAAACTTGATGCCGTCTTCTCTACCCAGGAACATTCCCCTTCCTATCTCCAAAATTCATTGCTCAAGCAAGTCAAGTCTTGAGTTTATTAATCCACCTGCCATGTCTCCAATAGCTTCCACCTGATTTAAATTCACAGCTGTCTTCAATATCTGTGGGGGATTGGCTCCTGGACTCTGTTGAAGCCCAAACCAGAGAATGCTCAAGTCCTTATACAAAACTGGACATCATTTGCACATAACCTACACACATCCTCCTGTATACTCTAAATATTACATAGTTGTTATACCATATTATTTAGGGAAGAGTGACAAGATAGTGTGAAATGTTAAGTACAGATACAATTTTGTTTTCAAATAGTTTTTATCTGCAATTAGTTGTATCTATGGCTGCAAAACTGAAGGACACGGAGGGCCATTTGTACTGACTGCAGGTTTAGTTGGCTTACCATCTTTACTGGCACCAAATGTATTTGTAGGATGCCCTCAACCCTTTCAGCTCTTATATTCACAATCCTGAGTGAACCATAGCTTCTTACACTTGAACATGCCACTAACACTAATGTCAGTAGGAACCCACATGCCACCAGTCACCTGAAAGATCAAGACCTCAACATTCAGAGAGGTTAAGTGACTTGCTGAGGCCACACAAGAGTAGTACAGATGTCAGCTTCTGGCATGGCTAGGAAGGAGTGCAAGCTGGTGTGGACCAGAAGGTACAGAGAAGCTCCAGTTACAGGGGGCTTGCATTTCTGAGCCTGAAGTAAATTGTGGAAATGTGGCCACTTCACAGAACAGTCTCAAGTCCACAGCTGTCCAAACACTTTTATTTCTTTCCAATTATTAGTCCTGAATGGACAGGGCCCAGTCTCTCCACCCTGGTGAGCACAAAGCACTTAACATTTTGGCCAGGCTGCATAGCTTCCTAGTCACTTTGAGTCATGAGGAATTCCTTTTGTCTAAAGTCCTATCTCATACCTGATTCTAACTTCCCGCTTCCTCATCATGGGCCAGTTTTGGGACGTAAGACACCAGAAGTAGTGAGAGAGGCTGGGGTGCACTGCCCTATCCTAGGAGGGAGGGTGGGATAGCATGGTCCCTCTTGGGATGCCCTCATCTACCTCCTCCCTGTGTTTATCTGGGAAAAGGGGAAGAATACAGCCTTTTTCTTCTTCTTGTCTGACTGTGGTTGAATTCTCTCTGATAGCTGGCACTGTTATTCTGTAGACACTACTATGACATGCAAGGGAGGGGTTCAGGTGCCTCAACTTCCTGCTGCACACCTATGCACTTCACATGGCATGTGTATATCCCTGTCACACACAATAGGAGAAGGTAGGGTTTTAGACCACTGTTCCTCATCTCTGTCAGGACACATTTCTCTGCCTTCTTAGACTAGGTAGGTGCTACGTGCATCTGCCTACAGCTCATGGAAAGACATGCCAGTTCCCCTCCTGGCCAGCACTCCTTACTGGAATGCATGTGCTCCTTGGGCCCCTTCTCAACACTAGGCTGGGAAAGCCTAGGGAAACACTGTCTTCTCTCCAATAGGAAGGGAGGAAAAGTCTCAGCCCTTTTCTTGGGGACTCAGTTCTCTACCTTTCCCCAATACCAATGGTTCCTCTGGCTTGGGGACAGTTGCTGACATTGGCAGGCATGACTGACTCAGTGACTCTTGGGAAACCCTGAGCAGGTGTCAGGCTCTGTATTGACAGGTTCTCTTTAGAGTTATTTAGTGTCTATAGGGCAATGCCCTCTAAGTGTGTAGTTACATGAGTCTATCTTCCAATAGTCACACTATCAGAGCTAAGGAAGGCAGAAAGGATCCCACACAACACCTATTTTATAACATGCTTTTGTTCAATGAAGGGGAAAGAAAAACCTCTCACCTCTAGTCATATATACAGAAAAGTCATGTTGCATGTTTCTATATATCACAGATGCTGCAATAGCCATGTTCCATCTATAAACTGTCTTAAATGCAGGGGTAAGATCTATAATTCCTAATAGTTGTATGAGTCAGTATAAATGGCAAAAACTCAGATTAAAATAAAGACAGTTAATTAGATTTCTTAGTTTTGAAGTTTTTTTTTTTTTTTTTTTTTTAGAAAGGGTTTTTCCATATTTCCA